GGGGAGGACTCTGCAACGTACCTGGCTGCTTCTTGCTCTGACTGAGGGCTGCTGGGAGCAGGGGGTGGGGGTTGTTGCATGTGCCCGCCCCCTGGGCTCCTTACTGCCGGAGCTCTGCTCCTGTGCACTCCTGTAGGAAATGACCCCTGCTTGTTGTACCTGGAATGTCTTTTCCCACCCATTATGACTACCAGTTCTTCACAGGGAGCAAAGACTTTTTCAGGGAGAGGGAGAGGGAGAGAGGGGGAGAGGGAGAAGGAGAGAGAGAGAGAGGGAGAGGGGCCTCTCCTGTGGACAGGTCTGTGCAAGAAAGTTCCACTCAGGATTGAGACTCCCGTCCCTTCCATTCTGGTCAGTGATGTCTCTGGCTCCTTCTCTCTGAAGAGTCACCAATCAGGGCACCAGGAGACTCTAGGTTTCCATTACTGATGCTTCTCAGCACCACTACGCTCAATAGGCTTGCCATGTCCCCCCGGGGGGCGGGGAAACCCCCACCCCAGAGGCCCGTTCCCCGCCGCCGGAGGATCGGGCCCCCGTGGGGAACCCCACCCCCAAAGCACGCAACGTGCACGTCACCCGGAGGTGACGCGGCCACTTTACCTTCTTCTTGTAGAATCGGGGAGCAGTTTACATGCAGGAGAGAAACTGCCTCTGTAAACAGCCCAGAGTTAGGGGGGGGGGGGGGGGGGGGGGGAACAGAACAGAACGTGCAGCCTACCTTTCTTCCTCATATGCATATGATGGACTTTTCTGTCTCCGTATTTGGGTTGCCGGATGCCGCAGTTTGAGAGGGAGTTTCTGGCGTGGTCTGGATTCATCCCAAAGTTCAAGTGATGGCTTGGATGAGTCATGGCGAGCTGGAAATGCAGAGACGTGTATTGAGCGCGTGTGCTGAGGCCAGGGGTGCTCTTAGGGAAGGGGTTATGGCTCAGGGGCAGAGCATCTGCTTGGCATGCAGACGGTCCCAAGTTCAACCCTCAGCCTCTCCAGTAAAAAGAAAGGACCAGGCACGAGGTGACATGAAAGGCCTCCACCTGAGACCCTGGAGAGCTGCTGCCAGTCTGAGTAGACAATACTGGCCTTGACGGACCAGTCTAATTCAGTATAAGGCAGGTTCAATTGACAACAAGGGCAGCTGTCTGGGGCCCTGTGCTGGGGGGGGGCTGCCCATCCCTAGCCCCCCCTAAAAGGAGGAGGAAAAAAACAACAGCAAGCTCCTACCATCCCGTTGCAGCTAGCTTTCTGCTGCAGGTCTGGATCTGCCCATCTTACACAGGGTTAGAGATGTGAAGGCCCGGGGGAAAAAACGGAAAAATTCAGGAAAAAAATGTTTTTTTCCCCGTTTTTTTTCCTGAAGCCTTTTTTTGTTTTTTTTCCGAAAAATTGGAAAAATTGAAAAAAAGAAAAGAAAAAAAATGATTTTGGAACGTTTTATTTTAACATGATGAATAAAATATTTTAAGACAAGGTGTTCAAATATTTTCCAAATCATTTCTAAAAAATATATATGGTATCAGATTGATCTAATTTCTGTGCACTGAGGACAAGCAAGTCCTAGGTTACAAACTGAACTCTCCAAAGCAAGAACAAGATGCATTTCTTCCTTTAGGAGGTGCTATTGTCAGAAGAAAAGGAAAAGGTTTCAGTTTTATTTTTGCATGTGGGTGGGTATTCTGTTTGTAGTAATTGTTTGGATACACTATATTTTTAATATGCTAGTTGTGATAATTTCATGCCGAGTAAAAATGTCCATAGTCATATTTTATGTTCCTAAAGTAACAGAATGACTTTCAATCTAGAAAAGACAAAAGAAATGCTAATGTAGCATTTTTTTCAATTTTTCCGAAAATTTCCGCTTTTCCCCGAAAAAAACTGGGGGGAAAACGGGTTTTTTTCCGAGCTTCAAAATTTCCGGAAATTTTACATCTTTACACAAGGTGGGGGCCTACTCCTTGCTTGGCCCATCCAGGGAGTGGCAATGATTCTGCCCCCCCCCAGTCCACCCCTGGCTGTGGTGTATCCTGTTAACCCCTCCAAACACATGTATCCGTCACATTACGACACATTTGAATTAAGAAATATAAAAGTTCAAAATGAAAACTAAGCGGAAGTTATGAGTCTGAAATCTATTTGGTGCTGAAACATTTAAACAAGAGAAGACTATGCTTAACAAACATTTTCCTGTCTGCCTATTTGTTCTGTACCAGTACTGAGCACACAACTTGTTAACTTCTGCTGAAAACAGCAACAAACGGGTGGGATCCGATGCCACTGAGCTTTCCTCCAACGGAGAAAGACTTCCTTCGACAAAGAAAGCCGCTACTTCTCAGTCAGAAAAGTCATTCTCCACTGGAGGGAGTCTTTCTCTCTCGAAGGAAGTCTTAGTGAAAGAGAGTCATAGAAGAGAGATTCAACATAATAACATCAGGAAGTCATGGAATCCAACCCACTGTCTGATAACAAACCAATCTGTAATACTACGGTCTTCACCACAGTACAACCTTAGTATTAAAAGGGGGAGGCTAAGTAATCCCTTGTTTAGAGAAAAATTATTTTTCAGATACCTGGGCAAACCACTCAGGGATATAACAGATGATATCATTTTAATACGTAAATCATGACAAAATAGCAAAAGTCAACTCTACTGCAAGGATGGTTAACTGGCACAGACCAAGTCTCTATCCCCAAATGTCCTTGCTACCCCTACCAAATCCGGATGCTAAAAACCACAGGGACACTTTCTCTCATAAGGACAATAAATGTTGTTGTTTGGAGAGAGATTTTATCACTCTTGGATATTCCACGTCAGTTTTGGATTTATGCATGCAATATGCAAACGATATGTTAATGTTAATGCTAGGCTGAACACACGCGCTTCACAGGTGTGGCAGCGACACTTTATCCAACGACTCTCAAGGAGGTTGGGGGTGCGCAAAATATACTTCCAAAGCCTGCTGAAGATACAGAAAGCGCCTGGTTTGCGGAGACGGAAGTACCGATCTGAGTGAGGCAAGTCCAAACAGTCAGGAGTTCCTTCTTTCGGGGTCCCAGGCCTCTTCCAAAAATCCGATGCAAACATATTGATATGTCCACCTGTTTCTCATTCGCACCATACTTCATGAATTTGGTTTTAATAGGATATGGACAACATTCAGACGTGTACAGATTTCACTGGCTGCTTACCTGCAATAAACAGCGGTCTGTAAAAGTATAGCCTATCAGTTCATCCAGATGCATCAGACATTGATGGTAGCGAATGTGGTGAGTCAGGACCGGGAGCATCATGGCATGCTGGGGAAAGAATCAAAAGCATTAGTTTTTCTGAAGGAGGCAGCATGTCAAAGTGCAACAAACACCTAGCAACGATGCTGCAAAAACTCAGGGTAACTGTGCGAACATTCAAAGCGATTCACAAACATTCTCTCAGCAAGTCTTCTTGAGAGCCAGTCGGGTGTAGCGGTTAGGAGCGTGGACTCTAATCTGGGAGAACCGGGTTTGATTCCCCACTCCTTCACATGCAGCTGTTGGTGTGACCTTGGGTCAGTCACAAGTTCTCTCGGAGCTGTTCTCTCAAGGGCAGTTCCTGAAAGAGTTCTCTCAGCCCCACCTACCTCACAGGGTGCCTGTTGTGGGGAGAGGAAGGGAAAAGAGATTGTAAGCTGCTCTGAGACTCCGAGTGAAGGGCGGGGTATCAATCCAATCTCTCTCTCTCTCTCTCCCCCCTCAAAGCTGAGGAGTGGGGTGGGAGATGACCAGGATCTTGCTTTGCTCACTGAGGTTGAGCTTTTTGGTCCAAAATTGGAGCAGCTACACGCCCCAAAGCACTTTCAACAAAACTGATAGAACAACAGCCCCACGAATACCTAACCCCAGAAATATTTTTAACATATACTTGTCTAATTCTAAGGGCACAAAATATAAACTTTGCCATAGAAACTCGCCTATCATTGCTAGCCAAAAGACCGAACAGATAATAGTCATGTGAACAGCGATCAGATCTGCTCAATAAAGGCAATATATATTTAGCTCTTATAGACAAATACAAATAACAGCTAAATACAAAGTGAGGTAAAACTTCCAATTGCAGCTCTACCACCAAGGGCAGAGTCTCTGGGGACGGCTAATACCCTCGCAGCGACCTGACAATTCTGCAAGTGTTAAAATATTTAGAAGAAGAGATTGGATTTATACCCCGCCCTTCCCTCGCCGTCTCAGAGCCGCTTACAACCTCCTTTCCCTTCCCCTCCCCACAACAGACACCCTGTGAGGTGGGTGGGGCTGAGAGAACTCTTTCAGGAACTGCCCTTGAGAGAACACCTCTGAAAGAACTTGTGACTGACCCACGCTCACCCAGCAGCTGCAGGTGGTGGAGTGGGGAATCAAACCCAGGTTAGAGTCCGCGCTCCTAACCTCTATACCAAACTGACTCTCTAGCCAAGAAATGGGGGGAACAACATCTCCCAGTATCTAAGTTAATAGTCCAATCCTAAGGACAAGGACCATCTTTTAAACCCAAAGAAGTCACCCTGCTGAGAAGGGTGTGACTCTTCTTAGTCCTCTGAGCCATTTTGGGGGGAGGGGACTGGGTAGCAGAAGCAGAAGGGTGTGACTCTTCTTAGTCCTCTGAGTGTTGGACTTTGATGTCCCCCCGTTTTCCTAGCATTTTAAATCAGAAAATATCTGAGCCATTTTGGGGGGGAGGGGACTGGGTAGCAGAAGCGTGCATCTTAAGCTCCTTCTGTGGCATAAAACTCTGGACTTGTTATATTCCCTTTTAAACACAGAATATACACGGATGATTCGTTTACCCTCCATTGGGCAGGGTGAACATTATTTTATTTCCCATTCCATTAGGCAAATGAAAAGGAGATTAATAAAACATCGGCCTCCACTTTGTGCAAAGTATGTGAATAGAAGAGAGCAAAAAAAGAGGGGGGGGGGAGAAAATCCCTGCACATTAGCCAACTAAAATGTTGCGTGCATGAACGAGCGATTCGTTTACAGAAGCAACTGCAGGCACGGAGCCTGCCCGATGATTCTGCGTTGCCGCCTGAAGCCTCCTTGCTTTTAAACAGCTTGGATCTCTCTTGCCCACGCAAAGCCCCTCCTGCAAAAGCGGCAGAGGCTGTGGCTCAGTGGTAGAGCACCGTCTCCATAGGTAGACCCTCCCAGGTTCCATTCCTGGCACCTTCTCTTTAAAAGGATTAGGTGCCGAGGGATGTGAACAGGGGTCATTTCCTGCGGGAGCGCACAGGAGCGGAGCTCCGGTAGTAAAGAGCCCAGGGGGCGGGCACATGCAACAAGCCCCGCCCACTGCTCCCAGCAGCCCACAGTCAGAGCAAGAAGCAGCCAGGTAAGCTGCAGAGCCCCCCCCCCCAGGCCCCAACAGTCCAGTGGCACTTTTAAGACCAAGTTTTATTCAGGTACAAGCTCTCCCTCCTCTGCGAGGACAGATCTGCACGTCCAAAACAGTCCAGTGGAGCCTGAGCGGTGGGTGTTGCCTTCTGACACAGTTCCAGTGATGTCAGGGGGTGTGGCATATGCAAATGAGTTATGCTAATGAGCTCCTGTACCTCTTTTTCTACAAAATGACCCCTGGATGTGAAAGTCCTCAGCTTCAAAGAGCAGCTGCCGGTCTTGGCCAAAAAGACTGACTTCTACGGGCTCTGCAGGAAGCGGCTTTGTGGATTCGCAATTCATTCGTGATACGGGCATAGACTTGCAAGGGGGAGAGAGGAAAGGCTGGATAGGCCGATAGGCGGGGGAGGCCTGGAACTCCACCTCCCCTTGCGCCCTTTGCGTAGCCTGCACTGGGGACCGCCTCACACAGCCCATCTAGTGAAAATATTGCGGAATTAGGGTCTAGATGGAGCCTCAGTCCCCTGCAAAAACCCGTGGCATTTTAATTTCTATAGCCATTAGCCTCTCTATAGTTCAGAGGTCATTTCGGGGGGGATCGCGGGGGATCGCGGTTCCCCCGGGTGAGGTGCGAGGGGGCGGGGCACACAATGAAGCCCCGCCCCCTGCTTCCGGCCGCCTGGCTTCCAACCCTCATTCAGCCAGGAGGAGGCAGGAGAAGAGGGAGGGTAAGTTGCTTCCTCCCCACCTCTCCCCACCCCTGCCCCCAGGGAGGGCCTTGACGGGGCTTCCTCGCACTCCTGCCGGCCTTGCAGGTCCACCACCGGGCCCCTGATGTCAGGGGGTGTGGCATATGCTAATGAGTTATGCTAATGAGTTCCCCTAGCTCTTTTTCTACGAAACTACCCCTGCTATAGTTGAATCTTTCGTTCTGTTTCCCAGGAAGCTTCAGGACTCGGCTGGTGCCGTGGGCTTCTGGTAATGATAACCCTGTACAAGACTCTTGCCTTAGAGGAGGTTGATACATTCCAGAAGCTGGTGGTGTCACTATCAGAATCTAGACAGGTAAGTTAGTTGAATCCAGCTTCTTTGACTCTCCTTGACTTTCCGAGAGCTTCCTGACCCCAGAGATAGAGAGAAGGGGGACGGCTTCAGGTCCGTTCTAGTCAATTCTAGTCTGGCCTCAGTCACACCTGTCATAGTCCTACGTGATAGGTACGTCAGCAGCTATAGGTCCAAGAAAGATATATACCTCTGGTTTACTCAGAGCAATTTTGGGGCTAGATAATGAAACTGAAGCTCAAATACTTTGGCCACCCAATGAGAAGGGAGCACTCCCTGGAGAAGACCCTGATGCTGGGAAAGACTGAAGGTCAAAGAAGACGGGGACGGCAAAGGATGAGACAGTGTCATCGATGCAACGAACATGAAATTGAGCCAACTTCAGAGGACGGCGGAAGACAGGAGGGCCTGGCATGATCTGGTCCATGGGGTCGCAAAGAGTCGGGACTCGACTCTGTGACTGAACAACAACAAAAAAAATTGGGGGGCAGGAACGCACAGGAACGGAGTTCCGACTGGCTTCAGAGTTGGCCACGCCCACTACAGCCAAAACCTCTGCGTTCCTGGCTACAGAGGGAAGGCCTGGAGAGCAAACCCTCCCCCCCCCCCGGCGACTCCGAGGCCGGGGGGCCAGGGGGGGCCCTGGAAGGATCGGGGG